TCTTAGGAAGAGACCACTCTCTATTTTAAAATTTTAAAAATCTATTTTATGAGGTGAAAAAACAAAAAATAAACTTCTTGCTTGATCAAGAACATGAATTTCTACAAGCAGAACAGCCAGCCTCATTTCCTTATGAGGGTGTTCTTACACAGGATCACAGTGACAGCTGTCTCTTCAATCTCACCCCACACAACTTATATGAAGTCTAGAAAATTAATGTGTTTGTTTGGAGGGAAGGGTGTCAATCAGGACAGGGGAGGAGACAGAACAGAAAGGGGTTTGTTTTGTTACTTGGATTGTAGGCTGATAAGTCCATATCAGAAGACACACTGAACATACCAGATTCAACAGCACATGCATTTCCTCACTCCATCTTTGGCAGAAGTTTCGTGTGTTCTTTATTTGTGACAGGAAAACTGAATTAAACTCCATACAGCATACTTTGTATGGAGAGTCAAGTCATAAAGCCCACTATGGACTAGTTCTGATACATCCTTCTTCCTTACAGTCAGGTATCAATTTGCTCCTTTTCTGGGAGGGCAGAAAAAAGTATTTAGGAGTAAGTAACCTACTCTAGGTTCACTTTTATCTGTCAACGTACGAGGTTCTATGCAAAACCCTTGAAAAAAACAGAGCAGGTCATGGTGAGAAGTCTTTTTTATGGACCCATGAAATCCACAAAACAGTATAAGCACAGGCTATCTCAAACTAGCAGGTCACATGCTCCACTGGGGAGTGGGAGTGTGTGGCTGAAGGCAGAGGGTTGGAACAGGATGATCTCTAAGGTTCCTTCTAACCCAAGCCTTCCTATGAGTCTGTGATAATCAGCCCTTCAAGTAGTGAAGAACTTTGGAGAGACTTTTTCTGTTTTAACTAAACAAAACCAAACAATTTCTAGCAGTAAAACCCAGTACTACATGGCAACATTTATATTAAGAAAATCACTTTCTTTTAGTTGTTTTTTTGGTTTTTGTTTTTTGGGTTTTTTTAAACAGAAGCTATTTCTACTTGAAAGATCATTAAAAGAAAACTCCTTACACTGAAGTTTTACATACCAAAAAAACCAGCTGTTAAGGTAAGAACAAACATGCACTTAAGAACTTCTATGGCATCCACCTAAGTCCAGAATGAGAGTTAATTATTATTAAATACTTCACTGCCTTCTTTTTACAGCATTAAAACTGTGTGCATTTTTCTGCCAAGCCAGAAAAAATATTACTAAATAAATATATAAAACATGTCATTGTTTCACTCTGGCCATGAAATAGCAAATATTGATACCAACTTTCAAAAATACCACCTCATTCTGCAATATTTTTGGAAATAATTGCACTATTGCATGGATAAGTGTCCTGGTTCTGGCCAGAATAGGGTTAATTTTTGCAGTAGCCAGGAGGGGGCATGGCTAGGACACAGATGTTATTCCATGCCACCTCATGTCATTGCCAGATAGAGGGGAAAGGGACTCATTTCCAAAGAAGAAGTTCCTTCAGGTCCAGAAAATGTGGCAGGTGAAGCTGCCCAAAGTTGTCTATTGTCGGAGGGTTTTTCCTATCTGAGTCGTTTATTTTCTTATACTCTCTGTCATTGGTATTGTTGCTGTTATTGTTCGTTTTCTTACCCCACGCTGTTTCCAGTAAATTATTCTTAGCTAAGCCCGTGATCTTTTCGTTTTGTGCCTCCAATTCTCCTCTCCATCCTGCCACAGCAGAGGAAGATAGGAGAGCAAGAGAGTGGTGCATGATTTGGAGAATCTTGGTGGAGCCACTGAATTGGGGAGTACCATTTCTAAACCATGACATATGGATCTTGTGAGGATAAACACCTCTGAGACAGTAGACAGTAACTCAGCTGTGCCATGCACAAGTACAGCTACATGGCTTCTGGAACACAGAGAGAATAGGCAGGGTGAACCCATATCAGTCTACAAAAGACATATGTAGATGTACCCTTGCTGTGACAACATACAAAATCAAAGTCAGCTTCAGGGAATGCAAGTATCTGTTACTACCTTATTATTATGAAATTATTATTATTCTGCTAGAGCAATACCAAATGAAAAGGAGGTAGGTGTTGCCTCTTAGTACAGGAGAAAAGCATGAATATCTCTTGGAGAGCACTGAAGAAAAAAGCAAACCATATGTGACATCTGTTCTCACAACCACAGCTCCACTGATGAATATCAAGTGATTTACAGTAAAGGTCAAAGGCTTTCTTCCTAGGTTGTGGTAATTTACATTCATTTTAATGGCTAATGAAGCTAAGATTTTTGTTTTGTTCTGGGGTTTTTGTTTGCTTTGTTGATTTTTTTTTTTTTTTTTTGTTGTTATAGACATAGTTGATAAAATGAAGAGTTTCTTTCTTGGATTTTTGTTTTCCAGAAGCTTTCCTAATAAAGAGGAATCCAAGGGAATCAGTTTATCGCTGTATTTTGTATATATATTTTGTTTACACTATTTTGTATATTGACTATGCTTTTCCTGAGGAACCATATCACAGATTCACAGAATCATCAAGGTTGGAAGAGACCTTCAATATTATCTAGTCCAACCATCAACCCAGCATCACCATAATCACCCCTAAAACATATTTCCAAGTGCAATTTCCAGAACACTTCTAGAGACGGTGGGTCCACCACCTCCCTGGACAACTTTTTCCAAACATAACCACTTACTCAGTGAAAAATTTTTTTCTAACACCTAATCTGAACCTCCTTTGATGCAATTTAAGACCATTTCCTCTCGTCATTTCACTTGAGACATGGCAGAAGAGGTCGACCCCCACCTCATTACACTTTCCTTTCAGGTAGTAGTAGAAAGCAATGAGGTTCCCCCAGAGTCTCCTTTTCTCCAGGCTAAACACCCCAGCTTCCTCACCCAATCCCCATCATACTTGTGCTTCACACCCTTCACCAGCTCCACTGCCCTTCTCTGGACTTGCTCCATCACCTTAATGTCCCTTTTGAAGTGAGGGAACAAAAACTGAACACAGGATTCAAGGTGTGATTTCACCAGTGCCCAGTACAGGGGCATGATCACTGCCCTGGTCCTGCTGGCCACATTATTGCTGATCCAAGCCAGGATGCCCTTGGCCTTCTTGGTCACCTGGGCACACGCTGCCTCATGTTCACCCATCTGTCAACCAGCACCCACAGGTCCTTTTCCGCTTGGCAGCTTTCCAGTCACTTTTCCCTAAGCTAGGAGTGTTGCCTGGGCTTGTGACCCAAATGCAGGACTTGGCACTTGGCCTTACTGAACCACATCCAATTGGCCTCAGCCCATCAATCCAGCCTGTCCAGATCCCTCTGCAGAGCCTTCCTGCCCTCCATCAGATCAATAATCCTGCCCAACTTCGTGCCATCTGCAAACTGACTGAGGGTGCACTCAAGCTCCTTGTCCACATCATTTGAAGATATTAAACAGGACTGGCCACAGTACTGAGCTTTGGGGAATACCACTGGTAACTGGCCCTAGCTGGATGTAACTCCATTTACCACCATTCTCTGGGCCTGTCTGTCCAGACAGTTTTTTTATCCAGTGAACAGTACACCTGTCAAGGCATGGGCAGCCAGTTTCTCCAGGAGATGTTGTGGGAGATGGTGTCATATGCTTTACTGAAGCATGCACAGACACACCCTTTCCCCCATCTACTGAGAAGGTCACTTTGTCACATATATTGTCACTGGTAGAGGTTGCTGGAGGTAGACAAAAAGTGGTCTTTAAAAGGCCTGCTTTATTTCTATGATGCCTCCTGTACTTAAACCTGGTACAGAAGCACAGGGTGATGTAGGAAGTACTGTGTGGTTCACCATACAGTACATGTATCTTTATCTATATCACGAAGTATCTAAACTGATGTCTTCTAATGCATATCACACATGCCGAATGTAAAATAAAACTGTTCAAATTTAGGCTTTTTGTTACTGTGATTCAATATGTAAGTAGAAAAAAAAAACTCAGATACTAAAAACGGTCTTGGATACTTGCATCACTTCTTTTAGTGATCATTACTTTTTTCCACAACTTTGTAGGACTTCACCTTTAAATGGGAATTTAGTTTTGCATGTTATGATCAATTTCTTAAATCCAGGTCTGCTATGCCTAGAAGAAAATTGTGATGAGCACATATAGATCAGGCAAACTTCCAAGCATACACATATATAAAGATGGGGTCAGGAAATTGCTAAATTGATACAACGCATGGCAGTAAAGATAACATTAATGTATTTGAACTCTCTGACAGAGTCCTATGTAATTCCCAAAACATAAAGTATATTTTCTAGTGTTTTTTTCTCCTTTAAAGACCTATAAAAGTACACCATGCCTATATCAAAGAAAGTTACTTTTACCCTTCATTTAGGCTTGCTGTAGAACTGGTCAAAGTCTTCTCCCACGTCAAGTCTCTTACACGCACACATACACCCAGACAGACAAAATTCTGCCTTTGCTCGTAAAGTAAACCTGCGGTGCGCAAGTCGGGCGGGAAGAGCCGTCCGCGGTGGCATTGGAGATGCTGTCCACAGGGGAGCAGCTCCCGGCTCCGGCATACATACCCACCTGCCTTCTGGAAAACAAACCACGGCTACTCCAGAATCCAGCAGCTCTTCTTGTACCGGCAGCGCCCCCTGCTGGCCGCGTGCGGCCCCTCCCGCCGCTCAGGGCCGGTTGAGCGCGGTGCGGGCGCGCGCGCGGCCGCGGTGACGCACGGGGGTGGGCGGGGCAAGGCCACGGGAGGGCGCCGGGAGTGGGGGGTCACTCGTGACAGACAGCAGGGTAAGCCAATGGAAAGCGGCATGGCGGGCGGGGCGGGGCCGCAGCGCGCTCGGAGCCGCGGTGACGCAGCGGGTCCGGCCCTTTGTGCGCGCACAGACCCGACCCGGCCTGTCCTCTGGCGGGGCCGCCCCGTGGAGCGGGAGGAGGAGCGGGAGCAGGAAGGGCTGAGGAGGAGGGCGAAGGAGAAGCACGGAGGAGGACGTCGCCCGCCCGCGCCGCCGCCGCCTCATGCCGCGGCCCCGTCCTGCCGCCGGGGCTGAGCCGCGGCTGAGCCTCCGGCCGCTCCTGGCCCCGCTGGGGCTGCTGCTGCTGCTGCCGGGCGCAGGTACCGCGGGGGGCGGGCGGCGTTGGGGCGGGAGCGCAGCCGGAGCCCCTTTCCGTCAGGTAGAACCTCTCCTGAGGAGAGACGCGGGAGCTTGGGCCTGTTTATCTAGCTGAGAGGGAATCTCGTTAAATTGTCTCCAAGGCGGATGCCGAGAGGATGGTACCAGAGTCCTCTCGGTGGTGCCCAGCGACAGGACGAGGAGCAGTGGCCATGAACTAAAACACAAGAAGTTCCACTTCTACATAAGGAAAACTTCTTTACATTGAGGGTGGCAGAGCCCTGGAACACGCTGCCAAGGAAGGTCTCCAGCTCTGGAGACATTACAAACCCACCTGGACGCGCTCCTGTGTCACCTGGCTTAGGTGACCCTGCCTCGGCAAGGGGGTTGGACTGGAGCATCTCCAGAGGTCCCTTCCAGCCTTAACAATTCTGCGAATCTGTGATTTATTCAGCTGTTGAGTTGACTGATTTGCTCAGCTAGCCTGATTTATATATGCTCAAAACAATATCATGAATACAACTGAGGGGAAATAAATTGATGCTTTGAGAGTCTGTCTCTGAACCCACGATTACCTGTGTTATTTTGCTTAACATAGGGTGTTTTTGTTTGTGTATCAGAAAACAGAGAATTTGATTGGATTTTGTGCAGTTTTTTCTGTTTTTTGCAAAGGTACATACAACTCTACGATTGCACAATGATGCACAAAGATGAAGAGAAAAACTTTCTGCTTACACCATTCATGGTCACACTTCACTGTAGGTGTAGAGTGCCTCATTCTACTCTGTGTTGTCCTGGGATTTTGACAGGAGATTTGTGTTAGCTGTGCATCACTGGGAAAACATTGCCCTTATAAATTCATGGTTTGGATATTCAAAGTAAGTCATGTGAGTACCGGCTCAGGAGGGTCAGCTAAGGGGCGAGCAAAGAAATTGCTAATATCCTCTCATCTCTGTGTGAATTGCAGAAGACAACTGTTTAAGAATGAAAGTGCTACAAGACTGCTCTGCAGTCCGTTTTTTCACTTCTCATGTCTCACGAGTTTCTGTTAAATATATTGCATTTTCCCTTTTTTTTTTCACACTTCCATTTATCTTTGGAGGCATTTTTGTGGTGTTCAAAATCTGTTTTATGACAGTTTGAAATTACAGATTATTGTTTCCACAGTTGAGTTTTATAGGTCATAAAAATAACAATGCATCATGTTTTTAGTACGTAGTTTTGCATGCCTGGAGAGCTGTTGCATGAAGTTGTGCACATATTCTTTATGAAGGGTCTTTGGATGGGAGGGAATCCTAGACTAGGGTCCTCCCGGTTTTAAGCCCTGTGAACCCTGTGGCTCCGTTTCCCTTAGTGTGTGTGCAGTCTTGTTCATTTCGTTTCTGCTCCTGGTAAGTTCTTGGGTAAAAGCACCAGCAGAAGACCATTGCTATGTGCCGTGAGAATCTGGAAGGATTTCAGATCATGACTGTGAGAACTGTGGAGGAGAGGACTGTACAACTCCAGTTTGCTCACTGGGATGGTAATTGTGCTCTTTTGTGGAAGTCAGGTGATCAGATAAGGCCTAACTGCTTTTTTCATGTAAAGTGAACTGTGTACCTGTTGTGTACATCTGGTAAATACTTCAGGCTTTCGTGGGGAAAGGGTTTCTTTGGCCCTAGTCTTATTATTGAATTACTGTGTAAGAGAGGCTGCTATTGTTTAGATGTCTTAGCTGGAAACTTGCACACTGGACAGCTGTGGGTTTTTTTCACTTTTTAGCTTCCAAAAAATGAGCAGTGAAGATTTAGGTATGATAGTGCCAGAGAAATAAAGCAAATTGCCTGCCCAGTTTCCTACCATCCTCCCCTCTGCCCTGCTTTCTAGAAGAGAAACTTTGATTTCTGCTCCATTCATTCTATTTTCACTTGAACATATATTGCTTTGCTGCCTTTACCACGTTCTTCTGAGGGGCAGCATTCTGTAACTTGTGTAAAGCATTGAATGACTAAATGGAGACTTTCTTACTGACTAAGTGATTAATTGAAGCAAAGAATTGCATCATCACCTTGATATCTGAAAAGAAATGTTTGGCTTATACTTGGCAGGACCTAGTGCTCTTTATTTTCATCTAGACAATATCAGGTGATGGATTAAGACATGCATGGGTCCTGTCATCATCTGAGATACTCTCTCTTCTCTATCTTTCTGTCTCACAACACCTTTTTCTCTATTATGTATTGTTTCCCTAATGGGTGAGCACTGTAAGTTTTGTTCAGGTTGTTTTCTACAGCACCTGTGGGTGTGGAATGGGGTATTGCCACCCAAGAGGTTTGCTTGATTTCTCTCTGCCATCTCTTTTTGTGCTTAGGTGACTGCCAGCTGCACACATCTTGTGGAATCCAGAAGTGCACCACTGATTTTGTGTCCTTCACTTCCCATCTAAACGCAGCTCTTGAGGACTTTGATCTGGAGTTCTGCAAGGCCCTGCGCGCGTACTCTGCGTGTACCTATCGCAATTCCAAAGTATGCCGTGGAAACCTGGTCTACCATTCTGCAGTACTTGGGATCAGCGACCTCATGGCCCAGAGGAACTGTACCAAAGATGGACCAACATCCTCCACCAACCCTGGAATGACCCATGATCCTTGCAATTACAGCGGCCACACAGAAGCCAGAGAACATCAGGGAGGGGAGAAGACTCCTGCTCCTACTTATCTATTTTGTGGCTTGTTTGGTGATCCACATCTGAGGACTTTTAAGGATCACTTCCAGACATGCAAAGTGGAAGGTGCTTGGCCCCTCATAGACAATAACTACTTGTCAGTGCAAGTGACCAACGTGCCTGTGGTCCCAGGATCCAGTGCTACTGCTACAAATAAGGTACAGATTTATTTTAAGCTCTGTGCATGCATGGAGAAATAAAAGGCCAAGACAGCAAAGTAAGTCATTTAGCTCTTAACTGTTAAAGAAGTATAACAGCTTGAGAATCTTCTGTGCAGTAGTACAATAGAGTAAAACTCTTACCCTCTTTCCTTCTTAGCATCAAACAAAACTTGAAACAGGTTCTTTTCTTCCCTCTGGTGCTGCCCATGGCAAGAAAACTTGTGCTTATCACCACATAAGCTTGTAAGGACACTAGATGTAACACTTCAAAACAGTTATTGGATTATTGTGCATCTGTGACTGCCTCTGCATTAAGTAGAAATTTTAAAAAATCGTAGAATGCTTTGGGTTGGAAGAAACCTTAAAGAAGGAAATAGTGTAAGTCTTTGCTTTTCATTAACTCTAAACGGTATGGCTATAACAGTAGAAAATGAAAAATACTGACAGTGGCACAACAAACAGGTTATTAAAACACAGATGGTTCAGAGCAGAAACAAGAAGGGAACTGCAGAGAATTAAAGGAAGCAAAACAATTGCGTGGAAGCTATATGGTTGTCAGATGGTCTTAGCTCCCTGGCTTTACTAAAGAAGCAGTACCCTTAAAATTATGCTGAGCATATTAAGCCCCTGCTGAGACAGGCAAGACTTAAGATTGCTCTCCTCTTACATACTTGAGGAATAAATGCACTAGTATTGATAACTTATGCCATTTCCTTAACTTAAGAAAAATACTTGTCTCTCTCTGCTGAATGCAGGCAGCAGATGTCTCTGTCAATAAAAGAAATTACTTAAGTGTACATTTGAAGCTGATGCTGTCACATACCTCATTCCCTTTTTGGAGTGAAATGGCCTTTTTTAAGATGTGGTAGTGTAGCTCTTGTATTGTGAAGGTCAGGCTGTGCGAACACCGTTTCAACACTATCTATGCTGGAGAATTTTCATCATTTAGGTAAGCCTGGAAGTAGGTTTTTTATTACAGAGTTTGGAAGCAGGAGTTGCTGGTCACAGGAAGTTAGAGCCTGCACATCTTCCATGGAGTTGGCTGTACAGGAGTATTAATAAGGGAAAATCAGCTTTGCTATTAAATTTGTGCTGGATCCTGAGGTACTGACTAATGTCATTGCGTGTGTGAGTGAAGCAGAGGTTGGACTGAAACTCAGATTAACTTGTGCCTGTTCCAAGAGCAGTCTGCATTGTGAATGAGTTCTGAAGGTTTATAAAATAAGGCAATGAGGCTAACCTGAGTAAGCTTTGCAAAAGATGTCCCTTGCAATCTGTTCTAGTGGCTTTTTAAGACTCTTAAAGAACTGCAAGAAAAAGCTGTATTTCATAAACTGCAGTAAGCTTTTATCCTCAGTTTTGCTAAACTCTTGCAAAATTTTCTTTATTTCCTTGTTCCTGGTAGTAGTAGAGGAAAATGTTGAGACTCTTGTGTACAAATTGTGTGGGTGTGATGGTTGTTAGATAGGTGATCTTAACTTTAGCCACATTCTGAAAATGATTGACTATGTAGCATGTTATGCTGTTTATATATCTTTTCCAACAGATAAGAGGACGACCCAAGGAGATAAATGTTTGTACATACTGAGGGAAAATATGGTTTTAAAGGGCATACCTTCTATCTTTATTTATTGTCCTTTTTTTGGTGTTTTTCTTTGACTTTTCATTCTGGGAAAAGCAGCAATACATTTTTCTCTTCTGTAGTAGTGTTTTATCATCCCTGTCATTGCACAAATACAGCTAAGTGTGAAGAAGTAATTAAATAAGACATATAGCTTAGGATATTAGAAATGTCTTTAACAGAAGTATACATGTCTTTCCTTGAATTTTTTTTTTTTTTGGCAGATAATCAAACTTACCACACCTGTTTGTAGGCAATGGAGGTTGTTTGAATGTACAAGTAACTTAGCAAGATAAGTTTTAGTATCTCTAATGCATCCTTCTGCCTCTTTTGTTTCTTTATGGAACAGGCTGCTATGAAAGAAATACAAAAGGCTTGTTAAACTGTACTGCTACTGCTAATTTCATTCCTGTAACATTTTCCTCTGCAAGAATTCCATTTTTACTGTAGTACACTAACTGCTGCTGGGTGTACTTGACTAATTTTGGCCACAGGGTAGCTTAAAGGACTTTTAAAGAGGTACAGTTCAGTGATATCTACATAGTGTAATCCCTAGCTAAGAGCATCCAAATAGGTCTTCTGCCTTCACAAGAAAAGTTTCCAAAACATTATCCGTTGTTAGTCTGGCTGTTTTTTCATTGCAGTATTTGAAATATAAGTTTGTTAGGAAATAAGAAGAAAGGTATATGCTGGACTTAAATTGTGTAGAAGCCAAAGCAAATACTAACCTAATTAGCCTACTCTAAAGCAGACCTAATGAAAGAAAGGGCAATAAGAGTAGAAGATTTAGTTTTTCCTGTATGCATTTTTCTTAGGGTGATTTATGAAGCTGTAGAAACAGAATATTTAATCTCCACCCCATATGTAGTGTGCTTTTGAAAGGTGCAAACCGTCAGTTGCCCTTGTAGGAAGTTGGTACTTTTGGATTTGTCTGAGCTTTCTGGTGTACCAACCTTTGAGGGAGTCAGCGACTAAGTGAGCGTTATTTGTAAAGTAAGTTTTCCTCTCTCTCCAAAACGTATGAGACTTGAATAACCCCAATAGTGTGAGGGCTATCCATTAAATTCTTGAAGGACAAGAGAAGGTCAGGAGGACACCTCAAGTAAGAACATGAAGAATAAAAGTATACTGTTCCTCCCCCACCCCCCAGTGTGCATCTGGCATGAAAGTATGAAAAGCAGGACTTGGAAGGGCATGTCTTGTGAGAGTTGTGTAGTTATTCACAAAATGCTCTTGGCAATTTGTTTGTTGGTGTTTTGCATATTTGTGTTGCCAAAAAAACATCTGTTTTTCTGCTGTGAACAAAGCTATTGTATATTCTGTGGTCGAGCTGAAACTTGAAACTCCAGGTTTTTTGAGCTTGCCTGATGTTCTTATGCCCCTGAGCATAGGATCCTAGGGCTTTTCAGGTGGAGAATGCAGGATCATCACCAAGGAGCCTGGGAAACTGAGTTCGAGCTCCTCTTTTCTTTTTCTTTGTGCCAGACTTCTTGTATGGGTTTTGAGTAGGTCACTGGCATCTTTTATGTGTGATTTCTCCAGCTATAGATAAAGAGGTCCCCTTTCTTGGAACTGGTTTTGCAATTTCCTGAGGATAAATGTCTGTTACAAGGGGCTGTAGAGGGAGTAAGTTAGAAGAGTATTGCAGAATGCATTACATAAAAGGTTGGAGTTTTTTTTATTTTATTTATTGTTTGCTTTATTTGGAGGTGTATAAAGTCTCTCTTGCCGTTCATCTCTGTGACAGGTGTTCCAGATATCTCTAGAGTAGTTGTCCTTGAATAGCAGATGAGGCAGAAGCTTGGGCTTGCCAGTGGAAAACTTTCCTTCTTGTTTGCATTAGTTGGAAATGGAGGTTTTCCTATCCAGGTGTTTTGCAGTAGATAGCTTGAGGGTGAGAGTGTGAATGTAAGGACATAGAGAAGGAAAAAACCACCAAACTTTTTACTGCTTTTGCAGCATGGTTTCTATTTTTGCAGGAAATCATTGCAGAGTGATCACAGTGTACTTAGTCTCCTGTAAGTAATATTAAAATGTTTATCTCCAACCTTTCAGTTGTTTTTTTAAGTAGGAGCATCAGATGTCTGGTTATGTGTCATTATTCTTTTTATCTTTGTGGACATCTTGCCTAAGGTGGAGATGAATTTGTCTTTCTCAGAAGTAGTACATACTACAGTTTTGTTGGAGGATATCATAGAATCACTTAGGTTGGAAAAGACCGTTAAGACCATTGAGTCCAGTCACAAACCTGACACTGTGAATTCCACACCTAAACTCAGTCCTTGAGTGCCACATGCCTTTTAAACATTTTTGAGGATGATGACTCAAGAGGCTGGGCAGCCAGTTTCAATGCTTGACAACTCTTTTTCAGTGAAGAAATTTTCCCTAATCTGAACCTCTCTTGTGCAGCTTGTGGCCACTTCCTCTTATGTCACTTGCTACTTGAGAGGATGATACCCCGCTATCTACAACCTCTCTTCAGGTGCCTGTTGAGAGTGATAAGGTTATCCCTGAGCCTCCCTTTCTCCAGGCTGAGCAGCCCCAGCTCCCTCAGACATTCCTTGTAGGACCTGTGCTCAGATCCTTCCCCAGCTCTGTTGCCCTTCTCTGGACACACTCCAGCACCTCAATTTCTTTCTGCACGTGAGGGGCCCAAAACTGAACATGATGCTTGAGGTGTAGCCTCACTGCTGCCCAGTACAGGGGAACAATCACTGCTGTGATCCTGCTCCCACAGTACTGCTGATCCAAGCCAGGATGCCCTTGGCCTTCTTGGCCACCTAGGCACACAGCAGTTCGTGTACAGACAGCTGTCAACCAGCGCCCCTAGGTCCTTTTCTGCTGGGCTGTTTTCCACTCTCACTCTTTCCCAAGCTTGGCAGTGCTACATTAATGGTTGGAGTCCATGATCTTAAAGGTCTTCTTCAACCTGAACAATTCTAGGATTCTATTAAATGCATAGTAAAATAGCAACATATAGGGATACCTACAGCACTGTGATTGCATTATAGCACTAGGGAAGACCAGTACAAGAACTTAGAGTTGAAAGTCTTGATTTTGTTCAAGGCACAAAAGCCAGGCACCATTAACAAATACATTAAGGTCATCTAGAAACTGCAGTTTGACATCTCAGTAACACCATGTTTGAAAGGCCTTGGATGTGCAGTGCAATTTAGAAAATTTTTGTGATCAGTGCACTCATCAGTACTGGTATCAGTAGCAGCGGGAGGATGAAGTCCAAAATGAAATGTGCAGATTGGATGTGTGTGTTGTTTGTTTTTGATTTAGTACTCTTACTATAGCTGATGTTTGTTTACTGTATCTTCAGGTAAGTCTCTGGAAACCTTTGTATTCATCTTTCAGAGTTCCTCACTGCAGAAGAGCTCTGTATGTGACCACAGAACAAGACTGAGATACCAGTACTTTCAAAAATCTTTCTTCATCTGGTGTTTGGATTTTTCAGTCCTAGGTTTAGAAAGGGCAGCTAGTCTCTAGTCTGTAAACAGTACCTCATAAGCAGTTTTGTGGAGGTATTCTTGCAACCCAGCCAGAGTGTAAAAAGTGCTGTAGGTACATAGACACATGTAACACACGTTAAATTTGTTTGAAATAATTTTTTCACTTTCTAGTGCTTTCTCTTACCTTAAGAACTTAGATTAAAGCTTTGTAAGGAAATTTGCTTTATCTCCCTTTGCAACAAGCTCTGGAGTATCTCTTAATACCAGGGCATGATATTGAGGTAGGAGTATGTGATAAGGGAAAGACTATGGAGAACTCTGGTTTTACTAATCTAGCCTATGGATTAGATGGGTGTCATGTGACATACAACACAATATTCAAAACTAATGTCTTGAGCTGCAGTGTTTAAATACAAGTATGTCCTTGGAAAGTCTTAATAATCTCTTGATTCTCTGGAGTGTTCTTGCAGCCTACATGGAGGCCTTTATTCATTTTGTAGTCATTCAGCTCTCATTCACCATGTAATATTATTGCTAATCTTGAGTTAGGGTGCAGGCTTCTCTTCTCCCTTTGTGTATCTGAAATTGTGTGCATTTCATTGTTGCAGAGGAGGGGGTTTTGGAGAGAACAGTTTGGTGGCTGCTTGCTGAAAAATTTTCCCAGGTGCCTTGCTTAAATGTTTTTATCCAGCAGCCAGTTCTGTGTCTCATTAAAACAATTAACTCTTTTTGACTTGAGGCTTCTTCAGGTGCTGAGCAGACTTAGAGCTTTACTTCTCAAGATGTGTAAATCATTCTCTCCTTGCAGAGCAATACAAATGTGCTCAAGAAAAGAGGAATACTTCTTTGTCTGAGCAGGTGGAGATAGAAGTCTTTTTCATCAAAACTGCGTTATACAAAATAAAAGACCAGATTTACTGCATGAAGGTCTGGATTATATGCAGAAATACTAATTCCTTGAGAGATCTCAGGTTTCTCTTCTCTGAGTTGCTGAGATTACTTTACTAAGCACAGAGTTGTGAGGTTGTCTTTACAGCGGTGAGGGCACTTGTGTGTTTTCTGGATTTTGAATGTAGGCATTCCACAGCTTAGCTGTGGTCCACAGACATCAGTTTACTAAATGACTTGACTACAGGTGGTCTTAAGCTATATAGCTGATACAACTCAAGCTGTGTAACTGATTGACGGAAGGAAAAACCATTGGAAAAATACAGTCATCACCAGTGGGAACATACAAAACCAAAATAGGAAGTATCGTCTGTGTTGTGAGACAGAAAGATGGACAAAGCATCAGCCACCTGAGACAAGCCAAACAGTGAAAATAAATGTAATACTCTTATTGCAGTAAGAAGTCTGCACACTCCACAGGAGAAACTGATGCAATGGGAGGAGGGAGATGGGGAGACTTTTGTTTTATACAAGTAATATGGAGAGGTGAGGCTAATGAGGGTAGAGGTTTTATCTGAATTGTCTGTAATCGGCTCTTTTTGAACCTCTGCCGCTTACTTCAAAACAGAGGGGCAGGAGACAAAAGCTATTGGGCAGAAGTGTGCTGGTTAACTGATACTAGTTGTTCTTCCTGGTAGTGATTGTACCTTTCCGTGATTTGGCACAGTCTCATTCTGGTTTTGCCACAGTGGCCAACATTGTGGGAATTACTTGGCACTTACACTTCTCTGTCATTGCAGGAGGCATTCCAGAGCTTTAAAAAACTATCAGGCAGGAGGGAGTTCTGATACCTAATTAAATAGAAAGCCTTTTCCTTTCCAGACATCACAGCTGTTGCCACATGTTACTAGTCCTTCTTCCAGGACAACCTAAGAACAAATCTAACAATTGATAAAGTATTACTTTAAGCATGTGTACAGTCTGTTTTTCTTTAAGACATGACTTGTGGACAACTACCAGGCTCTGAGGTAGTGGTCAGTCCCAGACATACTCAGCTGCAAAATGGAAAAGGGGTTGAGATAATGAGTTTTTTTCCAATAACTTTGCTTTTTTTTTTTTCCCCCTTCCCCTCCAGATAACTATTATCTTTAAATCATACCAAGACTGTACAGAACAGAAAGTGTATCAAGCGGTGACTGATGACTTGCCTGCAGCTTTTGTGGATGGTACAACGAGTGGAGGTGATGGGAACACCAGGAGCTTGAACATCGTGGAGAAGGTCAGTGGGAAGTACATCGAGATGCACGCCCGGCACATCGGGACCACGGTGTATGTGCGGCAACTCGGACACTACCTGACGCTGGCCATCCAAATGCCTCGGGAACTGGTCATGGCCTACGAGGAGGGCCAGGACCTGCAGCTCTGTGTCAACGGCTGCCCCTCCAGCGAACGCATTGATGACAGCGGTCACTTGCCGTTGCCTGTGATGAGCAAATTGCTTCCTCAGGGCAGTGCTGCCCATCCCCGATCAGGGTACACACTGGAAACTGCCACCACCAAATGCCATGAGAAGATGCTGGTGAAGGACATCTATTTTTACTCATGTGTATTTGACCTGCTCACTACAGGTGATGCCAACTTCACGGCTGCTGCTCACAGTGCCTTGCAGGATGTGGAGGCGCTGCATCCCAGAAAAGAGCACTGGCATATCTTTCCCAGGAGCAGAGCTGGTGTTGTGGGGAGGGATAGCAAATTCTTTGTCCATCTTGGACTCGTGTCCTTTATCCTTGTTGTGTTTTTGTAGTTTGTTTTTTTTTTGTCTGTAAACAAAGTTTTGAAATATATATTGTCATAATATATTGCGTAAAGAGGAGTATATATGTATATACCATGTATATGAAGGGATGTTTTGTCTTGGGACACCCACCAGATTGTACATATTGTGTTAACTGTTTTCATATATGTTTGATGCAGTGTTCTTTGTATCTATTTGTTTTACAGTTGTTGAAATGTTTTATAATGTCCCTGCACTGGGACCTGATAGAGAGCACTTTATTTTTTACATATTAAATATTTAAGTGTGTATCTGAGTAACTGTGTATTACACATAAAATACTCAGTGCTCCTTCTAAGTACTACTTGGTTTAACACATTTTTTTAAATTGAATTAACTTGTGGGTTTTTCCAGGAGAGCTTTACGTAATGCCAAACGTGGATATTTTGAAGCTAGTGAATGGTCTCTGGAGAGAGCTTAAACTTAAAGGGAACGCTTGCTTTTTTTCACAGACCCACCAGTTGTCTTCTTTTAGAAGCCTACAGATTTATATTTTTTTCATGCTTGGAAACCCCACAGTGTGTCAGTCTTTGCAAAACATTTTAGATGTGGTTCATCAGTATACCAGTAAGTATATGTGTGTATGAAAGAGTGGCTATGCAGTGTTTAAATATTTTGAATTATTACAGTAGAAGAATAGTTGCCTGCCCTGCTGAGGAACGTCAGTAATGTGGTGTGACCCCTGGTGGGGTGCAGAGAAATTGGGGATGTAGGCCACATACTGGGCAGGCAATTTATAAATAAAGGCTGTTTGTCTCCTAGCCAAATAGGATGGATAGGATATTGGATAGGAATGTGCTGAATACAGTTCTTATACTTCTTGCAGATGGTTGTTTTCCCTCTGCTAAATAAGATGTGTAGTTAAATTTATGACCAGCAGCTGTAAACCAGGCCAGTTTATTAAAGAGATAGTGTGTGAGGAACCAAGAGCAGGAACCATCCCCTCAGGATACCAGTTGTACAGTTCCTTTGCAATGTTTGTGGAGATACTTAGAAGAGCTTTAGCACAGTTATCTGTGTTACTGCTGCATTCCTCCTGAGAGGTGTTATAAAAATCCTCTTTTTAAGTTATTGGAGAACTCTCAGACCAGAAGAACCGTGGAATAGAAAATTATTTGCCATAAAACTAAAGAAGAGATAGTGAAGTTGGAAGAAAAAATTATATAGAAGAGTCCATAAAATTACAGAACAGGATGACCTGATAAGTATATATGGAAGCTATAATATTTCATCTGCAGGGCTAATCGCACAGTGTGAAGGTAAATTGAAAGTGCCAAAAGTCAGATACATACCAAGACAGACCTAAAAACGACGACTTTGAATGTTACTTTGCTAAGCTCGTGTTACAGCTAGGATTTGAGCTGTGTGAGGTAAATATATCAGCAAAATGATCTGTGGAAATTGCTGTAGAAAGAAAAGGGAGCTTTAAATATATATATGTTTACTGTACACAGAACGCAGCTGTCATACCTGCAAGGATTCACTCTCCCAGGTGTTGATCTATCACCATAAGCTCTGCAGAAGGCAGTGTAACATGTTTATCAGTATTTTAATGCCACAGCGTGTCAGCTGTTACTGACACTATGTGTTGTTTGCCTTTGTCTTCAACAAGCTAGGCAATGCCTTGGATATTAGTGGCTTATCCAAAACAGTTTTTTAAGTATCTTCTTAACCAGAGTGTTTCCTAACTATATGCTAACAGTGGCTGATGATGGTTCTCTGTAGTTGTGGAGTCTGGCAACTTCTATAGGAAGCATGTTGCAGGACTGAGCAGAGACTGTGTGCTTAATCCTTCATTTTGTATGTACAGAAGACTCCTAAACAAGTGTATTATGAAAGGAAATAATAGGCTTAACTGCCTGTGAAACCAAAAATACTTTTTTATTTCCTGACTGGAAGAAAAATCTGTATAGAGCATCTGTTAAGTGGAACGCAACCTGAGAGAACAACCTGAGAGAACAACCTGGTCAAGTTACAGCCCTTCAGTATTGCATTTCCTTTCAGACTGCTGCTGTACTGCCAGAAAATAGATCATCAACTATTTACATTTTCTTACCTTGGCATTATGGTTACCATGCATTTGTTTTATGAGTTTTGAGGCTGTGCAAGTGCCTATTTACTTATATACACTGCAAAGTGAAGCGAGCAATGTTGCAAGCTTTGTACTGTCTAATGAGAGTTTCATTAGTGGACATGTTTTGAAAAAAAGCCCAAGAGTCTTGTGGCTTTCTTCTGTTTTGACAGACTCACAGAACAGTTTACAATCTTGCGTTTGTTTTCTTCATGTAAGTACAGCTGTGGTGTTTTACTGAAATTTTCATGCTTAGGTTATTTAATTCCCATCTATATCTTGACTGGTACGAATTCTTTTCTGTCTTTCCCTATTCCAGTTATTACAGACTGCTATCTACACAATGTCCAAACAGGACTAGTAATGATTCCCTTTTTTTTAAAAGGTGTTTTTTACAAGATAAATGTTCTCTGTGTTGTGCTGCTACTTCTCTCCAGATGTATTCAAAACAAACAAGAATTGTGGGGATCAGTGTTGTTCATTAGATTTTATCATTGTTATTAGTTATCATCTTGTGGAGAGCAAAATAGCAACGGATCAAGTACAAGTATGCAGGTAAATTTGTGATGCTGATGTAGAACAATTGCATCTGATCTGATTCTGAATTCTTTATCTTTGTAAACTAAAGTTCATTGAAATTAAAAGCTGCTGATAGTAAACAACTGTGAACAGTAAGATTGATTACAGTCTTCGGGCTGGGCTGTGTATCAGAACTCATAACTAGATATAAAAAGGACATTGTGTCATATGTGGAGTGCCAATAACATTTACAGGGATTATTTTCATGATTACACTAGTTTTAAAGCTTAATTTCCACTTTTATCTACACTCTAACAGTAGACAAATGCTCCATTAAATACACAAAATATGTACATGTCATTGATTCTAGTATGTGCTGAGGGCTGGATCTATGAAAGATTTTATATGTATGTTTGGTGTGTCAAGCATTTAAATCTGAAACTGAGACACACAGTTTCAGCTTGAACCCAGATGTTTCTTTAGGATCTCTGCTTTCCTTCTTAGTCCAGTAAAGCCTCTCAAGGAGGCTTTTGCTGCTGTATTTTGCTGCTGAGCAGAGGAAACAAATGCGGTCTTGAGTTTGTATCTGCACACTAGTCAGATTTAAATGTTGTTCATTTGTCTGGTTTACTTGTGGGACTTTTTTGGCAGTCACCTGACTTGCTCACTCGTGTTTGGCAGATAATGGTAAGAGTTATTTAGACTGTAGTGGTGTTAAGCACTCTGTTGGAGTTTGGGAGAGGCAAGTTGAAACTCCTCTTCTGTCTTGGTCTTTCACATCTGGTGAGACTAACAGCTGGGAGCTATTATGGAATAGTGCCATTCTGTGGTGTTACCAAGGGATAGCTTTATCCAAACAAGGTCTTAGTTGCCTTAAAGGAGACGAGGCATACTTTAGTGATTGAGAGGTATTTCATCTAAATTAGGTAAACTAAACACGTAAGCCTTCTCTGTATTCAGTGAAGTAAATAGCAATATTGTAGGTTGGGTTGAATTGCCTTCTGGAGATGCCTACTGCTATTGTTCTGTAGAGGGGAAGCCCAGACAGCTATTTTAAAATTAAATTAGTCTAGCCCTGATGGGTACATTTTAAATTCCAGCCTAGGTTTGTATCCAGCGACAATCTGCTTGCTCGAGACAAGCCAGCTGATCCAGCACTTGCTGCATAGCACCCCATCTGTCTCCCAGGCCTATCTGATGGATACACCTTGGCCTCTGAAAGCCTCACAGCAGACCTGGGCCTGGCCTGTACTCTTTGATTCTCTTGAAAGCAGACCTGAATAAGGCAACAAAGCCCTCCCTTCCTTGCTGTCCTGGCCCCTTCTCCCCTCCCAAGGCAGGTTTGTGCGAGGCAGGGGAAGGCCAGAAAAGAAAAAAAAAAAAAGCTGAAGTTGGGACAAAGGAGAGAAACTGAGTGGGTAAAGTCTTAGTGGTAAGGCTTCTGATCTTAATTTTGGCCTTTAAATCCCAGACTGTTTACTTTTTCCAGTGAATGATGCGAAGTATAGAAAAAGGCTGCATAGGAGCAAGGGCTGTATTTTCTAATTAGAGTGTTTTATCTTTTAGGCTGTTCTTTGGTGTCCTGTGCTGCCATTACCATGCAAGTGTTTTACAGAAAGCAAAAGTTTCAACATCTGAGGTTGCCAAAACCTTAAATACCCTGCAGCCAAATTGTTAATGTGTTTGACTAGAAAGTAAGAGATAGTCTGTGTTTGAATCCCCACTCCAAATTGTTTAAAGAAGATGTGTAAACAAGGTTTCTTGCCTTCTCAGGTGACTGTAATAATCTTTATCCTGCTGGGTTTATCAGCTTTTATCTGGCTAGATCCATCTGCTATCCTTTCTCAGGAAAAATGCTAAGCTTTTTCGTACCAGTCTACTTGGAAGTGTATGAGACCTGCCTTCAAAGGGTGTGTTAGGTTTGAAACACACCCCTCCCACTTCCCGTAGGTGGGATGCACTGGAGAAATAACTCTTTCCATAACCCTGTCTCTCTGTAGAGGGAGCCTAATGGTGGCTACCCTTGTGGTGGATAGGGCAAGTTAAAAAGTGAGGTACATCACTGTTTGTGATGCCATCTCTTATCCCTTGTTCCTGACCTATATGTAGTGCCAGTGGTTTGGCAAGACCTGCCTTCATCTAGTTCTTGCTTCTTCAGGTGCTGCCAGTCATCACTCCCCAGCCTCCTGAAAACACAGTGAACTGATTTCCTTAAAAATAAGTAAGTTGATCCGAAGGCATGAGAGAGAATTGTTACCAGGGTAGGCTTTTTGAAAAACATTTTTTTTTTCATTTAGTAATTTTATAATCCTTCAGCAATTATAAATTCTGTAAAAAGGCCCTCCCTAATCATTAAAATGTGGCTTGCACAGTAGTGTTTGAGATCTTTGGAATGCCACCATTTTTTTTTTTTAATACTTACGTAAAAAAGAAGTCACAAGTCTCACCTCTTCTTGCAAATGAAGTGGCCTTTATTACGGTAAAGAGATCAATAATTAGTCCTATTGGGAAATCAGATACAGATATTCCTCTATAATAAGAATAATTGCTGAAAAATCAATTCAGATGTGTCTGTGCAATCAGTCTGCCCTTTCTCCACAGCTAGTCAAGGCTCCTCAGTCAAAAATTATCAAGTCCTTCAGGGATTACCCTCTGTGTGTGAGTCCTTGAAAGTTTTCCGCATGCATATTCGTTGACAGAAGTGCTAAGAGTTTCTTCTTTGTCAGCAGATCTTCTTGACAGACTATTGATTACTTTTTGACTTTCGTTGGGTGCATTGTTTTGTATGGTTGGCAGTCCTGATGTGGCTGATTCACTGACACAAACAGAGGAAGTGGAAACACTTTCTTCTTTGGGGTTTTAGACTGGTAAAAATCAGAAAAGCAAGACAAATAGAGCTTTCTTCAAAAAAGTGTTAGGATATTGCTTCTACATGGTCTGATGGGAGCAGAAGTGTAGTAAGAAATCTACTTCTGTTTCTTTGAGTTATTTCTACACTGGCTCAACCAGAGCAAACCACTGTCAGCAGCTGGAGTGTGTTACATGATCTTCTGAAACATTTCTTCCCTTTTAGTTCCACCAGGAAAAATCCATTTCATCCAGTCAGAGATGTGAATCAAAAGCAAAGAGGGAGAGTGTAATAAGGAGGTTGACTTCAAAAGTAAAAACATTACCAGCTCTTTCAGTCTTAAGAGAAAGTCTTGTCTGGTAGTGCTAACAATTATAATGCAAATTCTTAAAATCAACATTATATGTAATACCTCTCTGGGTAAAAAAAACAATCAAACCCCACAGCCCTGCAATCTAAAACCAGGTCCTTTATAAGTGAATGAATTATCTAATGACAAGAAGTAAAAGCCCTCCCTGTTTCAGCTTTGCTCAGAAAATATTTTTACTGACTATTTAAAATGCCGGTTAAATGGCAATACATTGGCCTCTGGTGGAGTACTTGCCTTAAACAAAGAGCTGTTAATTGCAGTCTAATTGTGGACAATAAGGGTTATCTGAACAGTCAGTAATGAAACTTCCCCAGGTAACAATGTAAGTATTTGTTTGTTGGTTTTTTTTAAGGTAATTTCCCCTCAGTGGGGGGTTCTTTATTAAATGTGCATATGGGTCACTATGTACATAGAGAGTCTCCTTTATTTTTAATCTCTGGATATAATTTTCTATGTGCTAGAGTGACTTTGGTGATTTAGTCACACTAAGACAAGTAGGAATTTCTCCATCTTGCCTTTTCATCTCTTCTTTACCCATAGAACCAGCATTCAGTCTACCCACTCACGAAGGAGGAATACAATTCTTCCATCCTTCATTTATTTCATCCTTATACATAGCTTTGAATATAGGGATTAGAGTATTGTGTATCAGCTTTGGCTGAATCCCTGAATTTTGAGGAAGCTCTTTCCCCTGCCTGTGACCTCCAAAGTTTTGTTTCAAGCTTATAGCACTCACCATTAGCTGCATTTTTCTATAAAGAGACAAAACACTTCTCATAACTTCCTTATAATGAGGAGGAAGCGGAGTTGAAGTTACCATTCCGTCTATAGCTATTCAGCAATGCCTTCCCACTCTACCACCCACAAAATGTAATTGAAGCAAGCAAATATGCAGCCACAGGAAGAAATTCACATTTCATTTTGAAGTTAACAGAGCTTTGTGTTTTCACTTTCCAACTCTTACAGATTTTCTACCTAGACAGAAAAAATCCATAACATAACCTTATACACATGGATAATGCCTATTCTGTTTCTGGGGTTATATCAAGAAAACCCTTGCCAAAGGCTATAGCCCCTGCAAATTTACAAACCCCAGTTTTTGCCTTGATTGATGAGCCTTGATTTTGAACATCCACAAATCCATGGGACCTAATGAGATGCATCCCAAGATCCTGAGGGAGCTGGCAGATGTTGCTAAGCTGTTGAAAAGCCATGGCAATCAGATGAAGTCTGTAGTGACTACATGCTCTGTGCATGTAGAGGTGCCCAGTCATGATTTTCTGGAAAGGGGGTGAGAACTTTCACCATCATTCAGTCCTCTTTGCACATCCTTATTTGTGTGGGTCAGCCTCCTGCCCTTTGCTGGCTGCAAGGTCTCTCTTGTCCACATCACTCTGAGACCTTTGCTTGTGAATCCATGTCACAACTACCTCTCTTGATGGTGGATCATCATCTCCCCCTCCTTGCTGTTCCTAATTCAAAGCTCTTCTCACTAGGCTTGACAGACATGAGAAGCTGTTCTGCCACAGTCAAGTCACATGGGACCAATTATCCATCCTTATCTTCAAAATGGCCTGGTGGTCATAAAAGCTGAAGCCTCTGAGACCAGCTGCAAAAGTGGTTGTTGATCCACAGGATCTGTCCACTCCTCAAATTCCTCCTTTTGCTGGCAAATGGCACCACAGGACCCTGGTGCCCTTGGTCCTCACCTCCAGAGCGACACAGTCATTCTTGTTCTGCTTCAGGTCCCCCCTGGCCACATGGGTGGTGCTTGAGTTGGCCAAGAACCAGAGAAGCCTTGGCAGCCTCCCCACAGAACCCATGTGAAGCAGCAAACCTCTTCAGACCTGGGTCAGTCTGGTCACCAGGACCTCTGCCCACCACAGACAGTTCCTCTTTGCTCTCACTTCCCATCTCCCCCTAGCTGCTGCTGCCAGAGGCTCAGAGTCTGCCAGATGTGGGGGTGTCATCAGGTGGTGATATCCCAGCCCCTTATCTGCTACCAGGGCTCTGAATCTCTTCTATAGTACAGATCTGCAGGTGGGGCAGGATACCCTCCAGTCTTTGCCCCCTGTGAGTCTGCATTTCCCACACCTGGATGCGTGCACGGACTTTGCCTCCATCCTCCAGTGCAGCAGTTCAGGCTCCTGAGTCAAGCTGACATATCCCTTACTGCTACAGTTCGGAGATATGATTGCCCAAGGTCAGGCACAGGTTAACAAGACTCAGAAGCACTACCCTGGACTGTAATTAAGATTGGTGAATTGCTGGAAATACTCTCCTTTGCTCTTGTAATCTGTCTGCTTTGCTCTTTTTCATATACCCTAATGGTTCTGCAATTCTATTACAGTATTAATCAAACACATGATGAAAGTTTCACTTTCTTTATCCACCAGCTGCAACATTGATCTTAAAGGTCTTCTCTTAGATTATGTGATTCTTTGCTCTTCTGTTCTTGTCCCTCTTTCTGCTGTTGTAAACTCTACCTGAAATATTAATCAATAAAGTACATCAGAAATAGCCATAATGATCTCCTTGTATTTGTGCTATAGTGGTCATTTTAGATGTTCTGTCAGTGGGACTCATAGTCTAGAAAGATCTGAAACTAATTGTACCAACCACCTAGTTCTCAAATTGTTAGTTTTTTTGATTCATTGCAAGAATGTTTCTCCTTTCTGGAGCTCAAGATACAGTTAATATACATATTTTACATCTGAATTAGGTTTGAGAGAAATACACAGACCATAGGAAACATGAAAATTTGATGTGTGAAATTTTACTATTCACAAAGCTGAAAATTAATACAAATAATTTCATGGTTAATCATTACAGATTTAACATTAATAAACAGTTGAATATTAACAATACTTTGGGGAAAGAAATCATCCATATTAAAAGCTTTCAGGGTACTGTATTCTTTGAAATTACTGACCATTGCTAGTAAGTTTAGAGAAATCAGTACTTATTTTTTTACATATCACAGCCCATGCAAACATTTGCAAGTAGATTTCTTTTAACCATTTGGGCATTAAGCTGTCACAGTCACACAGTCTCAAAGAAGAAACCATGCTCTGAATTGTCCAAGGGAAGCATTTCAGCAGCTCACTTGCTGTTCAACACATTTGGAAGTGCAGCTCCTTCCAGTGACTCTAACTGCTCCTCTGAATATCTGACAAGAGAAGTAACATTCCTCTTCTCCCCACCCTCATCTTCTACTCAAGACGGAATGGAATCTTAATTATAAGAATGTATCTCTATCATATGAGAAGGCTGAATAGCAAAGGAGAACAGAAAGCAAATCCAACAAAGAAAAAAGTGAATTTACAAAGCAAAATGAATCTGAGCTTTGTAAATAAACATCTTGCACTTCAAGAAGTACTTTCTGATTAGAAAACAGTGTAATGCTTGCTGCTCACTCATAAAAACCTCTTCAATTTTAGCTTTCTAAGATCACATTAAAAGGCAAAACCAAGAGCAGCTGGTATCTAAAAAGTGGCCATAGAAATAGTAAAGTGTTTAAGAGACTGAAACTTACAAGAATATATAATAACTTCTATAGGGCTGTTTCTTGGTGACACGTATGCAGGGAAGAAATAATCATGAAGAAGAAATGAGGATAATCCACCAGAACCTCTCTTTTCAGCCACATTCCACTTAACTCCATTTAATAAGTACAGTAATTTTTGTCAAGTTTTACTGGAGAGCAATTATTTTTTATGTAATACAAAATATTTGATGTAAACAGACAATGCCTCACCATCTCATTAAAATTCTTAATTGATAAGCAAAAGCTAACAACACCTAAACCAGCTGGTACTGTGGCACATTTGCACCCCTGGGTGGAAGACCTGGAGTAACCACGAAAGCACTGGAGTTGGCAGAAAAATGGAGATGTGATATCCCTGCATTGGCTGGAAAGCACCAATTGGGTGAGACCTACCCGTGATCATACACTGAATAATTATGAAATAGATACTGAATTTATTTCATGCACTCTGTGCAGTGTACTGTCATGATGTACTCAGTGCAGCAGATGAAGTGGGCTTCCCTAGAAAAAATAGTTTGGGGCACTGTCATTAAAGTTGCATTGTAAGAATTGCAGAGAGGGGTCTAAATTAAGATTCTGAAAGCAAACTTCGTTCTGTAATCTCCTAACTTTTAAGTGATTTGTTTTGCAATTATGCAAATGTCAAGTCATTCTTAAATTTATGGGAGGGAAGTGAAAATACTGTAATCTAAAAATATTCTTGCCTTGGTTTTGAATTTTTTGTGTATTTATTGAAAACATGGATTTTGTAAAGAAATGGTAGACTGTCAGTCCATCTGTTTATTCAGTATGTTATTACTACAAACCCATATTTTAAGCCTTTAGGTTATGAATGGAAAACTAACTTGACTCACAGTAAATGTAGGCAAATTTCAAATTAAGGACAATGTCTTTTTTTGTAATTATGAAAATATAGGTTGTGGTTCTAATAATAAGGTCTGGTTTGGGTTTTATGTATAAATAATGTTGTGATGTCCCTATCAATATTTTTTCCACCAAATTATGAGTGATCCTTACAAGTACAGATAACATACTCAAAAATTTTAAAGCAAATGGGGTAGTTTACAAGTAAATCGATGCTTTAAGAGACATCACACTTTCTTGTGTTCAGTAGTGGCACTTGAAATAATAAAAACTCTTTAAACTTCACGTCCTCTCCCACTGACAAGGTTAGGTTTTTTCCAGCTTGCACTCACATTTATGGAGTTTCTCTGGAATTTTGAAAATGCAGAAGGACCGTCATCTATGACTGTCTGAGATTACATCCTTGAAAACTGTCACAGCTGAGCATATGGTACTTTTCTGATAAGTTCATGTTCACTGATAAGAGTAAATTAATTCATTCAAAACAAGATGAGGAAGGCTGCACTGTCAAAGAAAACATACCAGGTAAAATTTGTATTTTAAAAACTTGTCCAGATCATACCAGCATATGGAGGACCCACAGGGTGATCTGTGGTACTAGCTCACCGATGTACACTCCAGGCATCTACCTGTGACTGTCCCAGTGCAATACATTTGAAGGGAAGAGCACAGTTTTAAAACACCAAACTAGAGAATGCTGTGCTTTGTGTGTGTTTTCGTTTTCATTAAAGCTCACGGAGTATCGCCTTCCTGTGCATGTTTCCCTCTGGCATTATGGTTAATGAATAACTGCACCCTAACTCTTCAGATGTATTTATTTGGAATTTGACATGATTTATTGAACCCTTAAGATCTTGGGAAATAATTCCCCAACCCTTTCATACCAAGAAAAAGACTGAGTTAGACCTTACCCTTCTAGATGTGATAGTTTTGATAGAGCTCAGCAAGGCAAAATACAATTTTCTGTTTGAGAGCTTTCAAAACTGACCTCCTGCTTATTCTGTTCTGGATAGAGAATTCACCTGCAGATTTCATTACAGGA